TCAATGTGTTAATGGTGTATGTTATAAGTATACTTCTGCAACGTGTTGTAGTATTAGTGTAAAGTGTTGTATTTCAGTACTGGCTAAATAAGTTTTAGTTTATGTGAACAATTAACTATTACTAGTGAAAAATTTGATCAAATAGTGTAGTAGCAAAGTGGAATGTTTAATAAGTAATGGATAAAGTGCATCACATGATGTCTAGAATTGAGATAAATTATTATATTTGAAGTGCATTTTTTTAAATATGAACTTTTTAAATTTTTTTAAAGTTCATTACAAGATACTTAAAGTTCTTGAACACACAAGTACCATTATCCAATGCATAACTACCGGTATTTATTACACAATCCAACATCATACATAAATTTCATACTCCGTATAACATGCACAACAATTTGTATGAACTGAACAAGAAAATGAATCTTAATTTAATGTATTGATTAATTAATAACTATAATTTGTGTATAAAAATGGAGTTCAATGTAGTGCACATGACCTAATATATAGTGCACAAAGTTAAAAAGATGTTTAGAAATATGAATATTAAAATAGAGAATAATATCAATCAAGTGAAATGAAAAAATGGTAATGTACTACTTTCTTTCAAAAATAAGTTTCTTCCAAAGAAACTTACGTACTTTCTTCCTTTGTTAGTTGACTAGACTCTTACAATAATTGAAGACCAAATAATTACCAAATTAAGTTATCCGTGCATGATTACTATAATGCCCAAATAATAAATGATTAAACGTTTTGTGGATGTAGAGAAATCAATGGCTAGGATGTGTTCTCATTTCTTACGTTAAGCAATGTTCTTATCTGAACCAATATATATATAGGGAGTGGTTCCAGTGAGAAAGGAGTCCCATGAGAGAAAAAAGAATGAAATTTAACCATGGATTTATTTGATCTCATGGCTATGGTTGGATTGGAATTAAAACTTCCATCCACTTATTACGGCAAAGTGGAGAAATTTTAAAAGGTAAGGTTTCATTTTAATAAACACATAGGGGTTAAAGGGTAATACTACATGAGAGTTGTTACACACATGTGGCTTATTATTTTGTCCGGTGCATTAAGATCTCAAATCTCAATGTTGGAGAATAAGTCAAGTGCATTAATTACCAATATAGTGAAAATAATATACGTAGTATGAAAAGTGCAATGCTTTGACTCGTAGAGTGCATGTGCAGAA